ATATCATTGTGGGAAAATTCTACTACCAGTCCTTCATCACCTTAAATGAAATAGGGTGAATACATCTCATCTACTCTTTACACTCTTATCCCACTGCCACCCAATCACAATTTCTCACTTGTTTGCATTCCAATCGTCAAAATGTGTGCCCTTTTGTGGCAAACCGAGTGTGGCCTCATCACACTGTCTATTTACCCCGACCCCTCTCTTTCGATGGGCTTATCCTACTCGGGCCTCTAATCCGGATCCTTTCATTATCTCGTAGATCCGTTCCTTATCTTATTGGTTGACCGATTTCACTCGGGTCCAGTCCCTGCGTTACTTTCACTCCAGGCGCTATTTCTCAAGGCCATAGAAGCACATACACTGCCGCTTCACTGAGTGGAGGGCTTAAGCTCTGATTCCCATGCTTGCAGATATCAGGCCTTCCCTACACTGGTCGTCTCCTTGATTAAGCCCATATTATCTGAGCAAACTGTGGACGCCTATCTCTGGTCGCATGCGGTATCTCAAGTGGATTTCTAGTGCATTTTGGCCAGAACCCCTAATTTCCATGACGGTGTGCCTATCCGTCTGCCCAGCTCCCTGACTGCCAGGCCCCCAAAGTTGTACTGGTTTATTCAAAATGGCCATCACTCACTGACAACATCTTCGCTTTATTGCCTTAAATCCCTGCCTCCATTTTTATTCATCGCGATCTATTTTCCACCGTTTGAAAATGTATCAAGTCCACTGTCAGATGCTGGGAATCATGACAACTATGGCAGACGATTTCGGACTAGGTGCGTTCTACATAGTTGCCCTGACAACAAGACTAAGTTGTAACAACGAGGTCAACGCACTTCTATAAATCGAAAGGAGACTGCGACCATAACAGAGGCCACAACATCTTGGTTTTCATATTTATAATTAACTGTAGTTTGTGCGTTTGGGAAGTTTCATCACCAACATTTTTTGGAGCACGATGATAATCTAAGTAGAATAATTGAGTATAAAAAGAATTGACAGAAACATTACCACATTAATGCTACCCTAATAGAAGCATGGGCTATAAGCATGCATATACAGTTCACATAATTCTAACCCTTTAGTATGCATGCACGATAACCTGACTATCTGAAGGCCCACAAAATATCACGATAATGCCCATCCTGTCATGGATTTATGCTTATTTTCCTCGCGCTTGGTGAATTATCATAAAGCATGGTTTCCAGCTCTTAAAATGTTTTTCATATGATAGACGGAATCTCAGTAGGGATATATCGTTGTAAGGGGACGGTGCGCCATGGACTTATTCGCACAGATTCACCGTTACAGCTCAAAGACTTCCGGTAAGATTAATTTAAAAATCCCCTTTAATCGCCTGTTTAAAAAAACCAAACTGTACACTAACCTCAACCTGATTGATGCATTTCTTTGTAGCCCCCCATTAAGATGAATTTTGAGACAGTTTTAAATGTCTGGGAGAGCCCTTAGAACCTGCAAAGTTAGCCTGAAACTACCGCGGACGGTAATATGACTACCGTTGTCACATGTCTCTTTAAAAAGCTTATTACCTGCGCTCTTTATCCCTTAAGCGACATTAAGGATTAGCAACTTGATTTTTTCATCCAGGAACAAAGTTTTGTGTTTGGATTTATCTGGTACTTATAATAGTAATAGCTCTCAGCTAATTAAAAGCCTGTTGATTGAGGCATTCATGATATAATGAGGAGAAGACCACACCGTGTAAGTGAGCTTGGAATACACACTTTCGTTCTTATCAAGAATGGCTTTTAGCTTCGACTTGGCTACAAGTCTATGTTTCGCTCGTGACACAGAATGTATTAACCAATACGCACTTATAACCAATTACCTTACAATTTTTACATTATAATCCTTTTTGTCCATAAAAAATGTTATCGCATCTCGTCCAATGCTTGCATTATAAGACAACTTGAGGTTAGCCAAACTTGGTTAGCTGTGCTTTCTAATCAGAGTCGAAGCCGATACAAAAAGAAATGGGTTTTATTTTGCTAATCATTTGTCGATAGAGAATGACAATGCCAGCTTGTTCAGTAAATAATAGTAAGCTCTGAACTGTGTTTCAGGTGAAGGAAAAGAAATGGATTTCGAAAAAAATATCTAGGATAAGGTCTTATTTAAAAACAAATATATTGTTATATGAAAATCATTATAGGTCGAGTAATAAAAAGTAACATTAATATCACTTACTTTTTCATCTACACTAGCCATTTGACCATGGGGGGCAGTCTCCAATGTTTCAAGCATTCCGTGTAGTTTTGCAGGAACGGTACGTGACCTTAAAGCCCAGACAACTTCCTTAAATGCCTTTGCAACGGGCCAACGTGGATGAAAGCCGGGAGTTGGCGGGGTCCCCGAGACTGTTGAAAGGTTCTCACTAATTTTAGCCCCATATCCAGGACTTTCTTCGACTTTATCTTCTTCATCACCAATTCTCTTCATCAAATTATCTGAGTGAATGAACCGTTCTTGGTAGCATTCGAATGGTGAAGTAGGTCGTTTGCATAAAGGTTGAGAGGCTGAAAGTTGAAGGGCGCTTGGTACCACTGAAGTAACCGTAGGTTCAGAAAAATGAAGACAACGCTCAGATGGCCGCAAAACCAATGGCGGTGAAGGTGTCCGCCAGGCAGTAAGACAGCGAGGCGGCTCAACCCCATCAGGATATGGTGGTACTGCGGCTAAACGAATGTAGTCCCTCTTGGTCATCCCTTCAGGACCCGATATAACGGGATCCGTGGAGTCAGGAATAGGAACTTTCCGCAAGAATAAATTTAATGTAAAAAATTTTTATAGCTGTCTGTATGATAGTGGTGAAATCGCAAAGTAATGCTTTCCCCAAATGATATGCTGAGAGAATATGGGCAAAGTTCTATTCATATATTAAATTTAGATCTATACCGAGGACAACAAAAGTTATTTCATGGGCAGATGTGCTCATGTGTAATCGGTCAATCATCCTCACTATCTTAATAAGTAAAAAGTAGCTAGGGTTGTTCAATCGGAATCGATATGGTTCATCTTTTTCCGATTTCAAGAACAAATATGAAATCCCTATGATAAATTTCATTTCCTATAATTATGCTCTACGCCTATTTAGCACATAAGTAGGCAAGACTTTGGTTTGTTGATCCAACCTC